CCGCCACGTCCCGCCGCCGCCGGCGGCGCCGCTCAAAACGGCGGGGCCTTGCGGCCCGTGCGGCGCGGGGTCGGCGCCGCAGCCGGGCGTCCGCTGCTGCCGCGGCGCGTGCGCGTGGACGTCAGCCGCGGCGGGGGACTCCAGCCCCAGCGCGCCGCGCGCAAAGCCCGCGCCCGCTCCCGCGCCGGTGCCCGCGCCCTCGCTGCCGCCGCGCGCGCCGCCTTCTCCCCGATCCCCGGACGGCCACGGCCGCTCCCAATCCACCCCCTCCTCCCCGCCCCCGCCGCCAGGCCGCCGCGTCGGCGCGCCGCCGCCGCCCTGGCTCCTGGGGCTGTCCCGCTCCCCTTCCTCCGCGTCGTCCCCGCAGGTGGAGGCGGCGCCCTCGAACCCAAAAATCGAGGGGTGGGCGCCGCGGCTGGTGGTGAGAAATTCGAGCTCCAGCTGGCGCGGGTCGGGGCGGGGCTTGATAGCGTAGAGCTGCGGGCCGAGGGGAACGCGGGCGGCCGCTGCCGCGTCGGCCAAGAAGCGCCGGGCCCAGGAAGCCGACGCCAGCGGCACGCGACCCGGCTGTGCGCCGGCCGTCGCTGCAAGGGCTTGCCTGCGGCATTTCGCTGCCACCTAACAAACGCAGCTCCAGCCAGCCGTGGCCCGCTCGGCCGCCCCTGCAAGCCTGTCGCGCCATTGTGGGTCCCTGCAGTCACCCATTGCGCCAGTCCTCCAGTCATCATGCTCTCCCGCCCGCCGGCGCACCTTGCTGATAGGGAAGTTTGCGATCACGTTTGCATCCCCCTCGCCCTGCGCCCCCATCGGCTCCGTCTGCACGACTGCCAGCTCGAAACCATTGATGATGAGGACGCCGCGCCGCCGCTTGTCCTTGAGGCGGCGGGGCATGCGGTAGGACACCTCGTCCACAAAGAGCGCCCTTTGGGGGGTCATTCGTCGGGGGTGGGAGGGGGCGCATGAGCGCACGCGCACGCGCGCGCGTGTGTGTGTGTGTGTGTGTGGATGCATGTGGATGTGCACGTGTGAGCATGTGCACTGGAGAGGAGCATGGTGTGTGCGGTTTGACTAGAGGCCTAGCACCCAGAATCATGGCCGCTGCGTCGCATGGACACAGGGGTGGGGCTTTTCGTCAACCACCATTCCATGAGCCCCTTGGGCCAAAGACACGCGCCCTGCGACTCCACTGCCC